AAAAAAAAGAAATACATAGCTTTGAAAAAAATTCTGGTTTTGGGGGGGTTACCCCCACATATATAACTCACTTTCCATAAGGAAAATATTCAATGAAATATTAGCTATTATTACAAGTATTAGGAAGAAAGCAAACTGGTGATATTCAGTCTAGATTTTTATAAAGGAGTGGCAAAGAATAGAAGCACATAAAATACCTTAAAATTTTATTTCTGGAATATTAAGAGATTCCTCATTTGGATTTCCTTGAGGAATATTTCTTAATCATCAAAATAGGAAAAGTTGAAAAATCTAATTAGCACCTTTTGAACAGTTTAAATCACATTGCAGGACAACATGCAAAGGAGTTTAAGTAGGTTTTCCTTAAAGCCTGTCACATTTTTAGTAGGGGTTAGTGGGGTTCTTGAAATGTTGGACTCCTTTGCAATTTAAATCTTTACTTGTCACATTTAAGTGTGCTAATGTTGGCATTAGCAAAAGATTATTTCCCCGTTAAAATCCCTGTCATGTTTTTCCATAACATTTTTCAAATACTCTACCATGTTGCTTCATTTTTTCCGAGTCCACATAAAAGAGAACCTTGTATTCTCCTCCTAAGGATCCAGATTGCAAATAGTGAGTCCCGTATTGGTCAATTAGTCTTCGGTAAGCACTGTAGTCATAGAGAGAGGGGAGGTAGGAGAGCTCCTTCCAGAATGGCTCAGCAAGATTTAAAAATTCTGGATTGTTATTGATGAACTGAGCCACTTCCACAGTGTTCTGAACAACCATCAATTGGTAACTCTAAGGGAAGAAAAATAATAGGACAAAGAAGGTTAGGTTCAAGTAAAAAAAAAATTGGAAGTGTTCCCTTTAAGAAGTCTCCATCAATTAACTGCCAATTCCAATTAACTAGATTATGGATTTTTATTGTAATACATGAGGAAATCTCTTCTGAGATTACCAGCTGGAAGTAATCTAAAGCATGTTTGAAGTCCCAAATAGAAACTGAGTGATGTCGCATCTTTCATGCATGATCTCTGAGTCCCTGACTTCTTCTACCAGAAATAGAAAACAAACTTTATAAACTGCAAAGTTATCTCACAAATAAGTATAAAAATAACATGCCCATCTTGAGGGTAATTTATAGTTAGTATGATCATATAATGTTTCTTATATTGGAGTGCGTGTGAGTGATGCCCTAACATCTTTTAGCACTTAAACATCCCTTGGGAGAAAGAGAAAGCTTTGTCCTCCCAGAAAGAGTCACAGTTTTGGAAACTCAGAGAAGCAGTTCTATCCTTTAGGGTCACTGTGAGGCAGAATCAACTCTATAACTGTGAGTTTTTTTGAGAAATATCCTTTAATTATATCCAAGAAAGATCTACTGTGATGGTTTTTATGTCAATGTGCACCTGGCAGGGATGAAGTCTACTTTGTCAATCAGGTTACGGCCTGATAATGCCTCCTTGGGGGTGTGGCCTTTTTGTAAGGGAAGCACTGAGGAGAAGGGAACTCTCTCACCTCTTCACCTTCCTTCTTACTTGGATTCTGCATTTGGCTTCAGGTGCAGCCCATGTGTCCAGCAGTGTTCCTAAGGATCTTGGATCCATGTAACTGCACCCACCAGCCTGTGATCTCCTAGCTTCCCGCTTCAATTTCCAAACTCGTTGATCTGCAGCTGTGTGAGCCTGGAATCGGCTCCAGTTAGCATCTGACTCAGGGACTTGAGTTAAGGTGGGCTGGGTCACTTTCTTAATAACATCTTTTTCTTGATATCAAGTTCTTTCTTATACATGCATGTAGGCCACTGGTTTTGTTTCTCTAGAAAACTCAGCTAAACATATCTACCTTTTTACCAAATTATGCTAAAAATTATTTACTTCACTTATGTGAATCACAGCTTAAGGTCCCACAGTCAGCTTCTTAGGCATGAAACAGAAGAAACCAATATTCTTTTATATCTTTCTTTGTTTTATTTATTATCCAGGTTTCCTTAAAATACACAGATTATGAATAATCAACCTGAAATACTCTTCAAGAATTTATGTGTGTATCAATTAGTCCAATCTCTCTCAATCATTCATATTTCCCAAAGTTAAAGTATTAATATCTCAAGACAGTAATGTTTCAAAATAAGTCATCTACCTTCCCCAATAAAAAATTGATATCTCAAATATTATGAGACTTTAAAAATATTTCAGCTTCTTGCACCTTCTAAGAACACTCAAGCTTTAAAGTTTAGAAAGTATATATAAGCACTAATTGTATTTGTTAATGGGTATGAAAATACTTAAAATAAGTGTCAATAATCTGGAATGAGAAATTCAGGACAGTTTTTGTTTACTTTGGGGGATAGTTTTAATTAGATTTCAAGTTATGCTTTTTTTCACAGATTTACAAATAAAAGCAAATATTTTAATAAGCAGTATGGTAAATATATTATCAAAGAGAATTTAGCAACACAAAGTTGTATATTTTAAAGAAATATACTTTATAAAAGTATACTATTGTTCTCAATTTAAAAATGAAAACCTGTCCTCTTGGTAAATGTATTTATGCTAAAGTTACCAATACTTAATCCAGGATAATATGGAAAAGGTAACTGATATTAGCAGGAGACATGGTATCAGTGATAGCAATCCTGAACAATTCATACTGACCTTTCTGGTGTGCACTTCCTGGCTGCTGGAAGAAGTACTGTGTGAACGAGAGGATGAAGATGAAAAAAGGAAGCTCTTCCTCTTAGATGATGTATGTATTGCTGACGTGTGCTTTACGTAAGACCAACTACTATTGTAAAATTCATAATTAAAATCATTATTTACTTTCACCTGTAGAGAAAATTTTAAATATTTATTATAACCAAAATAAGGCTTTGGAAAGACCCAGGACATGTTCATCATGAAGCCTTTAACAAGAATGTTTCTTTATACGATCTGCCCCAAAAGACCAAGCTATTCCTTGAGAAAAAAAAAACTTTAACTTTGACACCATATGCAATGGGGAGGGCCATATGTGGAAAATCAATCCTTTCTGTAGAATTTGTCAGTACACATAACTTATCTATAATGAAAAAACTTTACATTTCATTGAAGCCGGACTTGTATGATTATAAAGATATGAGTATAAAGAGTAATTTTTATTCTATGATTACAATCCATTAAGCAGGAGACATGGTATCAGTAATAGCAATCCTGAACAATTCATAAAATGCATCTCTATGTAAATATTTTTCATTTTCCTTGAATGACAGCATTTTAACACAGCAGTGAGCAAATTAACAATGTTGTAATTACAGGAAATTCCCAGCATTTTACTTTCCAGTTCTCATCTAATATAGGAGATCAGAAATGCAAATGGGTCATGGAAAGCCAATAGATCGTTCAGACTCAGCTTTTAATGTTTTATGTGACCTAAAAATGAATTGAATTTTCTAATTCTGTTTGACTTGAACAAATGCCGAAATTATCTTTTTTTGATTTAGATGATAAGGACCAAAAGGACATCCCAAAAGAATTTTAAAACAGACATGAGATTGGTCACATATGGCTGAGAATTGAGAGCTCACTCAAATGGTTTATTTATCATTGGGTATCGAAGACATTCATTATGGGTCTTATTTACTGTAGGTCAATTGTGAGGATGGAGCAGGACCAAGCAGTCTTTCATTGTTGTGTACAGGGTCACTGTGGGTTGCAGCTGATTTGATGGCACCTAACAACAACAACCACACAAAATACTGAATGGTGCGGGAAGCCTCAAAGAAGATGAAAGGGGTATGCAGAGCTGGTGTGCCAAAAAGTCTTGGTCAACATTCAACCATTTCAAGATGTAGCATGTGGTCAAAAACACAAAAAGTATTAAAGAAATAAATTCAAGCTGCACCAAAGGCATTACCTCCAGGAACTGATAGCCAGCAGAGATATTTCAAAGAGCATAGTCACTTACTAGCCTATGCCAAAAATGTTAGGAGACAACCAGTAGTCAACCAATAGGAAGATATCAACCTATCAACCAATAGGAAGATTTGTGCTCATTAAAGAGATCTTACCAACAGAATATGGGGATTATCATACATGATCATTAGCATCATATGCAAGTGAAATTTTTCTGACAATAACTCAATAATGGTTGCAGCAGGACATCAATATGGAATTGGCAGAATTCAAGTTAAATTCAAAAGAGGACTGGGAAAGAGAGATGTGGTTTCAAACATCAGATGGGTCCTGGCTGCAAGCAAAGACCAGCAGCAACATGTTTGCCTCTGTGTCATTGGCTCTTGAAAGGCATTTGATGGTGTGGATCATAACAAACGATAGATAAAATTGGGAGAAATGGCAATTCCTATACATAGACCAAGAAAGAGTCATTTGAACAAAACAAGGAGAT